TATATATATATATATAGTTAGACAGGCGTATGTAAGAAATATATGACTCACGCAGATACAATATTACGGATGTATGTAGGAATATATAATCACCAAATACAATATAGACAAGTGTATGTTAGGAATTATATACTCACCAATACAATATAGACAAGGGTATGCAGGAATATATACTCACGCCAAATACAATATAGACAAGTGTATGCAGGATATATAATCACCAGATACAATATAGACAAGTGTATGTAAGGAATATATAATCACCAGATACAATATAGGACAAGTGTATATAAGGAATATATAATCACCAGATACAATATAGACAAGTGTATGTAGGAATATATAATCACCAGATACAATATAGACAAGTGTATGTAGGAATATATAATCACCAAATACAATATAGACAGGTATAAGTATAAGTATAAGTATAAGTAGAAGTAGAGTAGAAGTCAGAAGTAGAAGTACGAAGTAGAACTGCATAACAATATCAATCACTCCTGGTAGCATTCGTATTAAATACTTATATTATTCCTAAAAAGATAACTTACTATTCTGATGGTGTAGGCCCGACAAATATTTGATGATTAATTGCGTATAATTGATAATATAATATAATTGATAATATTGATAAATTATTGATATATATATACATTTATTTATTCATTGTATATATATATATATAAATCGCAATTCACGTGACGTATACAAACCTAGCAGATACCACAGGAGTGGAAGTGCGCTAATGTAACAGCAATCTTCAAGAAAGGGGAAAGGAAGGTGGCAGGGAATTATAGACCAGTCAGTCTGACATGCATAACGTGTAAGGTTATATAGAGACTATTATTCGAGAGAGCATTGTTAACCATATGAAAAGTAATAAACTATTCAGTAGGAAACAATTTTAGATTTATTAGTGGGCGGTATACTGTTCTTGAGCTGATGCAAGTACTAGATAATTGGAAAGAAATCTTGGATGAGGGAGACTGTGTGGATGTAATTTACTTTGACTTCATGAAAGCTTTTGATAAGGTGCCCCATCAACGCCTCATACATAAGATGGGAATGTACGAAATACTGGAACCATTCACTTCGTGGATCAGAGCTTTCCTACTAGGACGTAAACAACGAGTAGTGGTGAATGGAGAGATGTCCGAGTGGAAGGAGGTGACAAGTGGTATTCCCCAGGTGCAGTGCTCGGCCCGATCCTATTCGTCTTAGACATTAATGACTTGCCAGAGGTAGCGCAGGGGGTACGTCAATCTACTTGTTCAAAGATCTCAAGGGCTATCAGGGAAGTCGGGGATTGTGAGCTTTTGCAAGATGACTTGTACAAAATGCAGAAATGGACGGACTGTTGGATGCTGTGTTTCCACCCCGACAAGTGCAAGGTCATGCGAATAGGAAAAAATAGACTAGACAAATTTAACTACAAGCTCAAGGAGGACGGAACAAACTTGAAGTACTCTGAAGAAGAACAAAATATTGGTGTTACCATTGACAACAAACTAGCTTATGATAAACATATTACTGAAAAGGTTAACAAAGCTAATTCGATCATGGGGCTGATTAGGCGCACTATGGAATACATGGATGTGAAAACTTTTAAATTATTATACACTGGTTTTGTACGCCCTCACATGGAGTACGCAAATCAGATATGGGCTCCCCATCTAGTAAAACACATAGAAGCAATCGAAAATGGTCAGAGGCGTGCAACCAAGCAAATCCGTGGTATGTCAGACTTCTCCTATGATGACTCTGACATATAGGCGAGTGAGGGGTGACATGATTGAGATGTATAAAATACTGACTGGTAAATATAATCCTGAAGTGTCTGAGTTCATTATAACAGCAGGTGAATCGGTAACACGGAGATATGCATACAAAATCTACAAAATCAGAACGAGATTGAACATCATTAAATACTCATTTGTACATAGATCAGTGGATTTATGGAACAAGCTTCCAGCATTAATAGTAACAGCAAAATCAGTCAGGTCCTTTGAGGCCAGACTAGACAAACATTGGAGAAACCAGCCCCTATACTACGAGTATAGAGAATCTATCCAAGCCACCAACCCTTACCCCCGTGACATGAAAAATTGTTGAGATTGTCATAAGAGAATCTGTGTAAATCTGTGTAAATATTATAGCATATATGTAGCCGTTAATAAACAATATATAACTGTGTAGTGGCGCGTTGATTATATATAGGCGGTAGAATCATGTGCAAGGTCATATATGCTCTCCTACAAATTTCCACTGGCAGTTCCAACAAATCAGTAAAAATAAAAATAAAGTATAATAAATCTTATTGCA